CAACCCAAGTCCGTTGCTTAGTCCAAATTCATTACTGCCTATCTTCAACCCAATGCTTTTACAGCCCAGTATCCTCTCGGCCCAAACTTCTACTATGTCACTGTTCGTCAAGCCCAATTGGAGCCCAAACCCAATTACCAAAATGGGTGTCAACAATGCCCCCCAATTTTGGTAGCCATTTTAATCCTTCGGCTTCCAAAATTCAAATAACACCCATTACATTAAAAACATGAGTATACCATATAATTTCCTAAGTATCATGATTGTTGAGACTTCTAAAAACCGCCGATTGCACTAATCTATCCTTTCAGTCATTAATTCTATGTCCAACCCTTTGGTATCCCTATATTTCACGTTTCTTTCACATCCATAAAAGACCAAATGCTTCCCTTCAAACCAACAACCTCGTTTCTGCCACAGTACTTCGTTCCCAAAATTTTCTGCAACTTCATCTTTTTTTTCTTTAATCATGGCTTCAAAACAAACGAAACTGAGTGATTTGAATTTGGAATCCCCTTTCCCAGAAGCAACATCACATACCCAACTGACCAAATCAGCGATCAAAACCCTAGACCAAAACGAATTGGATATTACAACGTTAATCGACATCTCCGAAAATGCCAAGGGGCTTGGCCCAACATTTCTTAATCGATTCCCTCCTTCGCTACTGCCGATATATCAACAGGCCGAGCAACACCTTCCTTTCTCTAAACCTCTCTTCCTAACAGCAGAAGGGGACAGACCAACCCTCTCCGTCAGAAATTGGCATCCACCAATGTTCCAATAGAACGATTGGGTGGATCGTGTGTCTGCCGCGAGAGGAGATCAATGGAAAAAGATGGGTATCTTTGACCTTATCCATCTCAGTAAGATCCCTCTTACCTTTGATCGGGCTTTATTCTTTGTTTCTCGGCACTTTTGGTCCCCCACGACCAATTCACTACACTTGCACTGTGGCATGATGTCCCCCATTTTTAAAAAAAATGTTGGGGGAAGAAGGAACTGAAGTAGATGAACAAGAACACATAGGTTTCTTATTGTTGTGGTTGTGTAGATATTTACTGTGTGCACCTGCTATTCAAATCACTAAAGATCTTACCCAGTTGGCTATTGCATTATCCATAGGAAAGCCCATGGCCTTAGCTCCGTTTCTCTTAGCTTCCTTTTATAGAGGTCTGTCTGATCTCATTACCTCCAATTTCTCAAGATCTGGAGGCCCTCTTTGGCTTTATCAATTTTAACTACATGCGTACTTCCCTGAATTATCTTCCCCCATTCAGCTTGGTAATAGTGATCATTTACTATCATTAAGGTATGCCAAACTAAAGCCCAAAGATCATTCCTTTAATGATTGTTTTCAGTTTTTCTATCATCAGTGTAAAATCAGGACTCCATCTCAATTTCTTCCTTTCTCTAAATGTCGGTTAGCTCCATCCTGGTTGTTTATTCCGACTACCGAGTCTTCGACAGAACAAATTGAACTTCACAACAACTCTTGGGGTCATTTCCTGACTGCTAGGGATATTCCTTGTAATACAGTCGCTCCCCATCTTCCAAAGAGCCGAACCGGAGTAGAATTCTACAACCCGGCTCAGCTAGCTCGACAATTTGGATTAACCCAAATGATCCCAGTGCCTCCCCACTTTTCTTATAACAAAAACTATCATCGGCGGGTCAAGCTTTCGAACAGTGAACAGTTTTAGGATATAACCAACCGATTTACTCAGCGCCTTCAAGAATTCCATTTCAAACCCTTTCTGGAAGAACCACATACTGATCCAGCCTTTGAGACTTGGTGGTCATCATACATGAACTTTACTATAACTGTAGATTCCAGCCAGCTTGTATGCAATCTTCTTGGATCCTTCAAATTCATTTCCCCCAGTTTTCAAGGCACTGACTTAATTGATCCCGTTGCTCTTACTACCCCTCCTGACCCAGAGAACATAACAGACCCAATACCAAATCATCCTGCTCCAGCCGCTCCTGTAGGCAGGACCAGGTCTCGGTCCCGACAGAGTAAGTTCTACACCTTCAATCTTTTCATATAACCTTGCATTCCATTTATATGCTCACTCATATGACTCCAGGCACACACTCCAATATACCAGAGCAATCAGTACCCACCAAGTCTGAAGAAACCTAAATTGATTTTCATGTCCCTCTGCAAAGTATACCCCCACCACCGGCTACTACCAAGGTAATACTCATAATTAATTCATGCTCACTCTTTTAATGCACACCATTTATTTTGCTAACACTTTTTATCAGAGGAAAATAAGACAGAAAACTGTTAGAAAGAAACCTGTCAAAAAATCACGAGCTAAGAGGCACTTTATCTTGATTAATGATGATGAATTAGATGAGGATGAAGTTATGTCTAAGAAAATGAAACCCGTCTCTGAAACCCCTCTGGTAACACTTCTTTTATGCCTGATCTTCACACTACATTTTATTAGATTGCTATGACTAAATCGGCATTATTTTCCAGAGAACTTCATAAACAAGCCACAGTATTGATGAAAAAATGGAAATGTCGATAGGAAAAGAGTTTAGGTCTTCTCTAACAGCAATTTCTCCAGTTTCTGCTAAACAACCAGCTGCAGCCTTCGTGAATGAACAAATTGGGGACTCTGATGAAGTAAGTTGTGATCTACATAGCTTACTTTATTTAGACTTGTAAGGATTGAGTCTGATCAAAATATTTTAGGTACAAAAAGACTCGGCTACTCCATCCATTCCTGCTAGTATCAATCCAAGTTCCCCTTTCACAACCCTTGACTCTTTATTTGAGTCAATATTCGATTCACCCGATCTTGAACCTCCCGCCGAAAAGATTTTTGAAACCCCCTTAGACATAACAAAAGCTATTCAACTATTGTCCCAGATGTTGCAACAGGACTTGTCCTCCATTCCTACATTCAAAGCAGAACTTACCGAGACCCTCTCCTTTCTGAGTAGTTACCTAGGATTTTCTTTAATTGACCAATCCTTTTTCAAGAATTTCCAGCTTCAAGTTCCCTCCATGATCACTTCTTATGCTGATTTTACTCATACCATCAACCAATATGCTGCCCAGAACCAAGAAAAAGAGAAACTTTCTCAATCTTTAAAGTGTGGGAGAGAACTTCACCTTTCGTTGAAGAAAGAGGCTGTCGAGTTGGATGTCAGGGAGAAAAAACTGCAAGCAGAATTAGCTCGGCTTCAACAAGATAAAGCCCAGCTTGATCACAAGGTGGCAAATCTGAAGAAACAAACCGAACTTGATGCACCCAGGTTCAAAGCGCTTCAGTTTCAAATACCAAAGTTGGAACAGTCGAGGAAACAGGCAGAAGTGAAGCTCACCAAAACCAAGGCCTCATGGACAGATATGAAGGCCAAATTTAGCCAAAGTTTTAAGCAATCTTAAACACTTATGTTTTTTTATAAACAATTTGACCTTTTGGTATGTAATATGGGTTTTGGACTATTTGCTATAACTGCCTTTTATTTTAATGCATCTTTATTCTAACCACAAACTTATTGCTCCAAAACAACTTACAAACAAAATCGCATAAATACAATTCAAATTATTTTTACTTAGTGAAGGTTTTCTTTTCCTCCATAAGTTCAAAAATAGTTGGCTTATATTTTTTAAGGTACCTTCCATTTATTGGTCTCTCATGGATTTCACCATCTAGATCTTTTAACCTGTAAGCTCCTCCATGCAATACTTGATGAACCAAATATGGACTTTCCAAGTAGGTGACCACTTGCCATAAACTTTATCCACCTTTCCAAGTGGAAGAATTGTTTGCCAAACCATATCACCCTCTGCAAATGACTTGAACTTTACCCGTTTGTTGTAAGCTTTCATTACTTTTACTTTATGGACCATAAGGTGGTCCAAAGCAAGTTTTTGGACTTCATCGAAATCTTCCAACTCGGCAAGCATAGCTTCGTTGTAATCGGTAGGTATAAGATTGCGTTGTAAGGCTACTCTTGTCGATTTTACATTTAACTCCATCGGTAGCACAACATCATGGCCAAATGTAAGCTAATAAGGAGTTGTCCCTGTACTTGTTCGCTTCGAATTTCTATAAGCCCACAAAGCTTCTGAAAGGGTTTCATGCCAATGCCTTGGTTTATCTTTTATCATTTTCTCAATAATTTCAATAACAACTTTACTTGAAGCCTCTGCTTGGCCATTCCCTTAAGCATAATAGGGTGTTGAAGTTATCATTTTTACTTGCATATCAATGCCGAGTTATAATACTTCATTTGCTCGAAACACAGATCCATTATCGGCAAATTGTTTCGGGTAAACCAAATCGGTAAAAGATATGTCGCTCCAGAAACTACATCACCGTGTTGTGAGTTACTAAGACATATTCCTCGGCTTCAACCCACTTAGTAAAATAATCGGTAGCTAAAATAATCCAATGATGACCCTTTGATGAATGAGGATTAATCTTGCCGATTAGATCCATGGCCCAACCTCTGAAAGGCCATGGTTTAACTAGTAATTGCATCTCTATTGCTGGAACCTACTGCATTAGACCATGTTTTTAACAGTCTATACAACCTTTTGCATAAGTTATACAATCTTTTCTCATTCCAGGCCAATAATATCCATATTGGCATATCAACCATCTCATTTTTATGCCGGCTTGGTGAGCTCCGCATATCCCTTCATGTACCTCGGCCATAATATTCAAACCCTCAAACTTACTAATGCACTGAAATAACAAACCATCATCAGCCAATCTTCTATAAAGATCTCTATCCATAAGCACATAATCAATTGCACTTCTTTTTATTCTTCGATCGGCTTCTGGAGTTGGATGTTGCAAGAACAAGATGTAAGGGATTCGCCGATCATCATCATCTAATTCGGCAACATCAGTGGCAAAGACTTCTTCCATAACTTGATTTCTTGTTTCAGCCGATGGAAGAGATCGGCGTGTAATTTTCATTATCCTTTCCTTCATACCACTTGGCACCCTGACTCTTGAAGCAGTCTATGCTAAATCATTAGCTATTTTATTCATGGCCCTTGGTCTATATTCTAAAGTCACATTGTGAAATTGGTTGACCAATTGGGTTGCCAACGAATGAAATGGTCTTAATTGCCAATTCAAACATCTAAAGTCTTCTGAGATTTGATTAATCACCAAACTTGAATTTCCCACAATGTGGACGTCTTTGACTGCCATTTCTAGCAGAATTTCCAAACCAATAATTAATGCCTCATACTCGGCTTGATTATTTGAACACCTGAAATCCAAAAAGAAGGAAAATGAAATTTGATTCCCTGTTGGGGATATTTTGACTATTCCAGCTCCTGAGCCTTCACTGGTACTCGACCCATCAAATATTAAAGTCCATGGAGTCATGAATATGGATGCCGAGTCGAGCTCATCAAATACTTGTGACATAATTTCAGGCGAGGGATGATCGGCAAGAAAATCTGCCAAAACTCTTCCCTTAATTGCCTTTTGTGGAACATATGCAAAGTTGAATTCCATTAATGCTAGAGCCCACTTGCCGATCCGGCCTGTGATTAATGGCCTTGATAGCATATACTTTATAAGATCTGTTTGAAAAATAATATAAACCAAAACAAGCAATATATAGACTCTGAATTTCATTGCTGTAAAATACAAAGCCAAACATAATTTCTCAATCGGCCTATATCTACACTCGACTGGAGTTAAAAATTGGCTGAGATAATATATTGCTTGTTCATTTCCTACTTCATTCTCTTGTGCCAGCATAGCTCCAATTGATTCTTCAGCAGCGGATAAATACAACTTCATTGGCCATTTCTTCCTTGGCGGCATCATGACAGGAGGACTTGACAAGTACTCCTTGATCTGATCAAATACCCTCTGGTGTGTATCATCCCATTTTAATTCTTCCATCGGCTTCAACTTGAGTAGTAGGGAAAACACATGTAACTTCCCAGTTGTATTAACGATAAATCTCCTAAGATGGTTCATTTGCCTAAGTAACCTCTGCAACTGTTTTTTGATTCTCGGGGCACTAGCATCAATAATTACTCTAGCTTTATTCCTATCGATCTCTATACCCCTTTAATGAAGTAAGAAACCCAAAAAGTTTCCTGCCGAGACTCCAAAGGCACACTTTATTGGATTCATTTTTAGCTTATGGGCCCTCATCCTCTCAAAGGATGTTTTGAGATGAACCAAGTGCTCCTTTTTTGTTGCTGATTTTACTACTACATCATCAATGTATACCTCCATAAACTTGCCGAGCATATCATGAAAAATAAAATTCATATCCCGCTGATATGTAGTACCAGCATTCTTCAAACCAAAAGGTATTACCACCCATTCAAAAGTTCCAATTGATCCAGGACACCTAAAAGCTGTTTTTGGAATATCCTCCTCTGCTATATAAATCTGATTATAGCCTGAGTGTCGATCATAAAAGACATAATTTGGTGTTTTGCAGCCGCATCAATTAGTTGATCGGCTATCAGCATTGGGAACTCATCTTTTGGGGTTGCCAAGTTTATGTTTCAGAAATCAACACATATACGTAATTTTCCATTCTTCTTTATAACAGGAACTACATTCGATAACCATTCAACATACCTTGTAGTTCGAATGAAACCAGCATCCAATAATCATTCGATCTCCACCTTGACTTTGTCTACCACCTCTTGAGATATTCGACGAGGTGGCTGTTTATATGGCTTGTAGCCATCTTTGATGGGCAGCCAATGTTCCACCAGATCTCTGGATAAACCCGGTATTTCCTCATAATTCCAAGCAAAACAGTCACTGTATTGCTTCAGCATACCGATAACCTCGGCTTGTAATTCTAGTTCTAACAGTGCACTGATATAAGTTGGTCTAGGCCCTGCCTCAGTGCCTAAATTCACCTCCTTTAATGGATCCTGAGTTTCTGCTTTGAGATCATCAAGCTTAACTGGTGCCAATTCCAAGTCTTCCAACTGAATAGCATCCAACTTTTCATTATCGATGTGATCAGCTTCTGCAAAATTAACCGATGGTCCTGGCTTTATTGTTGCTTCTTTTTCTAGCCATTTTTCGGCTATGTATGCTAGTAACCTAATGTAAGCGGCCCTAAAGGCCTGCTGCCGAGCAGTTTCTCTTTCAAGTTTCGCTTCCATCAACAACTTCTTCTTCAATTATAGTAAGCCGATAGAGTTCTACCTTCGGCTTAGAAATCTCCTACTGTAACTCGCCGATTTCACGATCGGCAAGACTTCTTCTCATGGTTGCTGATGTAGGTCTTCCATCAGCTCCTGTTCCCACAAATTGAATAGGAACACATTCTTCGTCATACAAAATAGCATCTGCCGAGTACACTTTTGCCACAAATGGCTTGTCATCGGCATTCACTATCTTCACCTTATCTCCATCCCAAAAGATCAGCATCTGGTGTAAAGATGATGGAATGCACATATTTGGATGAATCCAGTCACGACCTAATAACAAATTATAGGAAGCCGTGGACTCGATAATAAAAAAATGCCGCAAAAGATGTTCTTCCTCCAATTTCAACCTCCAAGGGAAGAATTCCTTTTATGCTAGTAGATCCTCCATTAAACCCACAAATTGCTACATCAGTAGGAATAACATCTTCCATACTCTTACCGAGTTTCTTCAAAGTATTAGTCGGAATAACATTTAAAACCGAGCCATTGTCTACCAAAACTCGGTTAATAGGTTGACCATCTACCCATACCTTAACATACAAAGGCCTAAGTTATTGAGTCATTGCTAACAAAGGTTTCTCAAAGACTACCTTCTCTGCCGATTCTGAGGAAAGAATTGATAAATTTTGAATTGGCTGAGTTCTTCTTTACATCCATCTTCTGTTTCCTTCTTATTTTCTGTACTTGCAGTTGATGACGATGGAGCTTGGAACATTGTTGGTAAAACAAATGCCATATTACATGACATTTCATCTGGGAAACTGCCAAATTGAATTCTAAACTCATTTTTGCGTCTGGGCCATGTCGGCTGATGCTCCTCTTCCTTATTTGGTTGGTCTTTATCTGGAATACTAACTTCCTCAGCAAACTCTTCTTTGCTTACCTCTTCAGTTTTCCTTTTTTCCTCAGCCCTTCTCCTTTGTTCCCTGCGTTTATGAGATCGAGTAAGGCCTTCATTCTGATATTGTTGAACTTTAGGGAATTTTGGGTGATTGACTCGAGTCCATCTACCTTCCGTTGAGTTTGTTTTAGGTTTTATAGTTTGCACCTTATATAAATCGGCTCCCTTTTGTACCCAAATTTCTGATTGAACTGGTAACCGCCTTTTAAAACTAGGATGTCGATTTTGTGGATGAAATCGGCTAAATATATTTTCTTGCCAATTCTGCCTCTCCGCCTTCACATGACTGCTGCTAGAATCATTTTGCCGAAGTTTTTCACCAGGCTTAATTGGGAATGTAAGCCTCCCAAGAATTCATTTCTTCTTGGGTTGAACCTCCATTGTCTCTTCTTCTTTAGGCTTCTGCTTTCCCTTGCAATTTGGGCAACAACCCTGGTCTATTAGGGCCAACTGGGCCTCCCTTAACTGCTTCTGCAGCTCTGCCATCTTTTTAAGGGTCATATTTGATGAAAGGAACTCGTCTGATGCCTTTTCAGCCTCCTGCAGATTTTCTCGCTTGGCTAAGCTTATCACATTAGTAGACACGATTGTGGGGAATGGATTGGTATCCACCTTCATGGTCTCTGAAGTTTTCTCTGGGAACTTTAAAGTACCTTCATCGATAGCTTTCTACAATACACCTCGTAGAACAGTACAATCATTAGTAGCATGGTTCCAAGAGTTACGATACTTACAATACTCCTTTCCTTTCAAGTTACTTGCCGATGGAATCTTATGCCCTTTAGGCAAAGATATCATCTTATCAGCCATCAAGTGATCAAAGATTTGATCTATTTTTGATAAGTCAAACGAATAACTCTTCTTGATATCGACAAGACCTTTGCTTGCTGCCGATGTTGATGATGATGATGCATTGCCTCCCGTGGTCGGTTTATGTTTAACCAATGCCTCACAAATGTATGGCTTTTTGATATTGACTTCTGCAACGTCAATTTCCAATTCATCTCCAACTTCTGCCGAGAATACCTCATAATTAGGGTCCTTGTACCAAGTACCCTTAGAAGAATTCTTCCTCTCTTTCTCTTCTTTTAGTATTTCCTCATACCGAGAATCCCTGCCTACTAAATCGAAGAGATCTTAAAACTCAACCCCATCAAACCTCTTACGATGTTCAATGTCTAGACCATTCATTGCCAACTTAATGTATTCTGGTTCTGGCAAACTTACTCGGCATTTGAGTTTAGCCTTTCTGAACCTAACAATAAAAGTTTCAACCGATTTGCTCAACAACTGAGTTAAACAAGATATATTTGCTAGCGTAGCTTCTGTCTTTGTTCGGTAGAATTGGGTATGAAAAGCCTCCTCCATTTCATCCCATGTCCTAATGGAATTGGCTGGTAAATTGCTGCACCATTCAAATACCGCCCCAGCGAGAGAACTAGAGAATAACCTCATCCTCAACCAAGGACAAAGGCTGCACCGTAGAAAAATTTTCTTCACCACTATACATGGAAAAATCGGGATACCGATAATTTCTAGGCAACTCATGGGTATCGATATGATCAGGATAGGGCTTTCTATATACTGGCCGAGCACGTCTGCGTCCCTGTGCTACCTCAGCTTGTATTAAAGCCAGAATTTGAGCCCTATCGACCCCTGCATTTTGTCCCGGAGGATCATTTGGGTGCAATGGAACGAATGGATTTACTCATTCTCGTTGTTGATTAGCATTGCCTTGCCTTTATTTTGGTTTTCAACCACATCTTGCCGATCTCTCACCACTGGAACCGGCTGCATTGGTGGACGCTGCACATTCTGATTATGTTGATTAATCACCGGTGGTTGATACATCGGCACTACAGTTACTGCCGGCGGATCTGACAATATTGGTGGGTTACCAATCGGCATGCCAAGAGTAGGATTCGGCACATTGCCAATCGTAATACCCAATGGTTGAATTGGCATCATGCTAATTGGCATTCCGAGACTTGGATTTTGCAGCATTGTTTCTGTCATTGTTGTCCTTGGTTCTTCAGGGATAATCACCTTTGATGAAGAAATTTGCAGAACCAATGACTCATGCACATTTGAGGTTTCGGCCTGATCAGATCGGCTTTGAACCACTGATAGTTGATTTGATACTGCATCCATTTTTTGATTCATCCCATCCATGCGATCATTAACCATTTGATTCATCCCATCAATGCGAGCTCCCAAACGGGCCTCCTAGTTTTCCATTCCCTACTGAATGGATTCAAGTATTTGCATGAATAGAGCATCCGATGGGAAGGAAGCTCCTGCTGTATGAGATCCGGCTTGACCAGTTGGCTGGACTTCCTCCTTTTCTTCTTCATTTGAATTCATATTCTTTGTGTTCCTTTTGGGAGGCATCGTTGTTGTAAATAAATTATTCACCTAGTGGGTCCCACCAGGCATGCCAAAAATGTTGACCCTAATGTCGGCTGGCTAGAGCCAATCTTAAATTGAGATGGAACGGGCGTGCCAGAACCAATTATATGGTTCGAGTGTGAGTTGTCAGCTATAGTCCCTTTGAGCAAGTTGACTTTCAGGCGATTATGAGGAAAAAAGGGAACAGAAAAACTCCTCTTTGGGTTCAAAATTACCTTAGTTAAAAGGACTTTTCAGTGAGTAATTTATAGTAACAATTGAAAGAATAGAAAGGGGAGAGAAATAAATATAGAAAGAAAAATAGAGAGAGATTGAGAGATAGATAGGGAGGGAAAGATAGAACGAGATATTGAGAGAGATAGATAGAGACAGAGAAGAAATAGCAAGGATGCTATTTTAGGAAAGGCTTGAGAAAACAAATAAATAAATTAAAGGATTCCGAGGGTGCTGGACCTCTATCTCAGCATGCCTCCTTTATTATT